GATCGTCAGGGGTATTGTTTGATTACTGCGGAGGAAGATTTTACCATGTGACTTACTATCGACGTCAGCCGATCAGCGATGTCTGAATAATAATAATAATAGCTTGGAGGCTACTGAAATTCATATTGACAAACAGGAGTGTAATTGGTTTACGTCACTGAGTGAAGCACGTAAGGGGTATTATAACAGACCAAAATCAAAAACATTTGCATCAATTGATTCTCTTAGTTTTAATGGTGAGACATTAGCTTTGTATCAAATTACAGTCTCAGAGAATCATGGAATAAAGGTAAGGGATAATGAACATAATTGAATTTATTGTTTGTTGGCCATCCCTAACTCAAGTTGTATAGTAGAAAGGACTCAATGAAATAGACCATTCTCTTACATGGAAAAAAGATGCAACAAATGTTAATATTTACTTTGTTGTGCCGCCAGATATTTTTGAAAAATTTACTCTACAAAAGTACAAAACAGTCAAAGATGAAGATTATCAGAGAGAAAATCCAGAATGGATTAATGAAATAACCCAATATGTCATGGAAATCAACTTGGGAGTTAATAACAAAAGCGCCAAATACAAAAGGCGATCTAATGATGTGATATCAGGAGATGAGAATAATGATGACAAAGAAGTGGAAAGAAAAATAAAAAGAGTAATTTGGTGTCAGGGGACAATAGTAGTGTAGAAGCATCAGGGAGCCATGTAAGTTCAGGACAACATAAAGTGAAACACACTAGTTATACAAGGAAAGGGAAGAGTAGGAAAAATGTGAAAAAACAAAAGTGATAATTATGTTACAAATAGTAATAGTGGGCAAGCTAAAAATTCTCAATTTATTTTCTTTTTATTTTTCTTGTCTGTTATACACTTTTTATTTTGTTTTATCTGCAACAATAAAGCTGAATTTATGGCATGATTGCATTTCTATTATAAAAGTTGATAATAATAATACCAACATTATTTCCTAAACTAAAACATAAACATGCCTAATTATAATCTCATCAACACAATTAAACAATGACGACCTCTCTCTCTAAAATAGGGGAAAGCTTTTATCCATGGGTAATTAGTCTATACAACTGTACCGTGGGAGTGCACAATACAATGGTTGGAGACTCTATAATAATGAAGTGATAGTAACTTTCCTGATTGAGAACCAATGATAGTGGGAAAGCACATGCATATATTTAAGAATGTTAGCTGGAAAACCTTAAAAATTTCTCTCAACCAACTATTTATACGAAGCATTACTAGAGGGCGCTGTTAATCGTAAACACACTTTTTTTTGGATATTCGTGTTTACTCCTTAGTTCCAACTTACAAGCGTAGAAGTTCGCAGTTTTTTGATAGAATTTCTTGCTTCAAATGATTTAATCGTTTACTAACCAACCTTAGCGTCTTCTTACAGTTTGATCGTAACGGGCCATTCACTTCCGCAGTACAAAGATGCTGACATTTCAATAAGTGTGGCATCAAACGTTTTATAAACTGCTCTTTAAGGAATCTGACTTCTTCCTCAACCTCATGTAGAAATAAATTAAGTGGCTAACCCCCAAAGACGCGGATATTCTTGTGAACCTTGGGAAGGAGAAGACTTCAACTTACGGTTTACCCGATAGCTCATTTAATTGTTTGACAGATTACTGCAGTTCGCGTTAGGTGTTTGCGTTCTTTCACCCAACGATTGAACGCTAAACAACAAAAAAAGCCAGTTCACGGCACAATTAATATCATTTGGATGTAACATAAACTGTTAAACGAAAGTTATTAACAAAAGATCTAGCGTGGCGTATTGACATTTACATTGAATCAGCTTTTCGGATCAATATCCTATTGAATGCATATTATCTAATTGCTTAGCAATGGTGCAAATGCAATAATAATAATAATAATAGATGTAGCACAGAAATAACATGTTTTCGAGTCTGAAATCACTCATACGAATATATTAAGTATGCTCTCCATTTACTCCCTTAACTGGTGTTTTGAATAGCCATCTATAGAAGAATGATAGTCTGAAAAACTGATTCGCCTTGAATGACGGCAGATCTCGGTTTATCTATTATTATAGAATGATGATAGTTCTGTTATTATCGATCATTAAAGTTACCTAATACCGCTTTAGTCATCACTATTTAGGCAATTCTCGATTGACTATGAGTTAATCAAATATTCCATTCATCAATTACTAAATCCGAGAGCTCAATTGGAGAGAATGTTGTATTGACAATAAGTCCGTTATCATGCCCCTTTTCTCACAGCAACAACAATAACGTCGACGCACATATTTGGCTGAATTGTTATGGTTCCGCAACATGGAATATGCTACACATAGTTTCTATTATGATCTCTTTGCACATTTCATCAAATGCTATGTCCAAAACGTACTTTTCCTCATGATTCCTGCGTTACAACCGTTTCGCGCGTGGGAAAACGCCCTAGTCAAGAGCTCACGCGCAACTGGCGTGTCTTCTCGATGTCTATTGTTTTTTCCCTCGTTTTTGAGACCCAGATTCCCTTGTTATCACACTTATAACTTAGGTCGTAACTTTGTTTATTATTATGGAGATCGACATATTTTCTGGGATGTAATAGGACAAGTGCTACACAGCCGATAGTTACCCTTACCTGAAAACGTCAAGTCTAGTTTAAATGCAATTTCCCTCTACAATCATATTCTGAGGGTCGCTTTTCGCTTTTCTAACTTAATTATTTTATTTTATTTTATTATTTTTACGATTCGATATAACTCTTACTATATCGCGAACGACCTAGAAACCCTGCTCTGCAAGTTGTCCTTCACAGGTCAACTACAAACTTCCTGGGTCGTATACGCACATAAACTTCTATTAAAATGTGGTCAAAGTTCGTCGGTCAACTGAGAAATTCTAACGGGCAACCACCTCTGGCTGGCTTTTTTGGTGCGTCGCCTCCAGTCTCCCCACAAATCAATTCACCAGACAAGCCATTTGTCCGCCGACGTTCCATGTTAAACTCTCCAAAAAGCCCACGCGTAACTGAAGCGAAACGACGAAGTAGCATACTATTTGGCGTAAGTGATGATTTGGACAAAGAGAAACAATCGCGAAAAAAGTGAGTATTTATTCGATTGACGTTTTTATACTAGCTTGCTTTTCAATGCACGAGAAATGGTTTTGATTCCTTGGATTTTGCAATGATTGATCATTACGCGTTGGCATATGAGTTGGAAGTTTTGAGTCGTTCCTGTTCTTGCTTACGAGCGATCGCTTTGTTCATCATTGACGATAACTGGCCAAGTTTCTTACCTATTTTTATATTTCAGAGTACCTGTTGAACAATTACAAGAATTTCGCGCGATCTTTGGACGATGGCAGCATTGTCTAGATGATATGGCATGTATCGGCATTCTATCTTTAATACAAACTGGTTATTCTACTGGATCTAATACATAATTTGGTTCTTGTTCTAATGTGTAGCAACGCAGAGAATTATTTATTGATTGCATGAAGAAGTTTTGTGATATATATGTTGAATATCCGGAAATTGTTGGAGAAAGGTAAAAAATCCGTGTCTCGGCAAATTTGTAACTATTCTCAAGTATGTTTATTAATACTAATTTATCAATGACAGCTTAGAAAACGTAACAACATTCACTGATATAGTATCAAAACACTTGGCAAGCACAATAAAATCTATTGTGATTCCTGGATCGCAAGCGGAGACAAACAAGGGTATAACGAGAGATCAATTGCTTAATTTATATTAAAGCGTGGCTTTATTGATTTACGCTACCATCTTTTCACTGTTAGCGATTATGCGGATGTTCGCTTCCAAACAGCAGCTATTTTATCCGTTAATGGCTCTTAATTTATTATGTAATGGTCCTGTGAGTATGTTGAATTATTTAATGCTATGCATTCGTATAACCGACTTTGGCACTAAATCATTACTTGCATAGAATTATTTGTTGGAAACAATGAAAGAGAACGAGCTTCCTGCTATATTAATAAGAACGTACAGTTCATTTACGACACTGCCGTCGCATCCAAGTTGGAATCTAATCGAATTGTATAGGGGAGGAACTGAAAGAGCTATTCAGGGTGTGGCTCCAGCTGGCGTAGTAGCAGACATTCTTACCGATATACTTGTTCACTTTGTCACCAAATCATCTGTTCTAAAGTACTACATGGAAAAGGATATACTATTTTTGCTTGTAAAAATGATATTGGATGCTGAAGATGACCCGTTAAAAAACAAAGAGGATTATTTCTGGCAGGACAAGTATGCTTGAGTCAACAAGTGTTCAAAACATTCCATTATTAATAGTCATCCATTTTCTTTATACTGATTTTTGCCCATTATAGAGCATTGGAGATTCTCACCGAATTATTTTCCTCTGACGCTGTTAATGGAGCTCTTGTAACATATTTTGAAAGGAAAGATATTATTGCCAAGCTAATTGGAGTTGTAAGAGATGGCATAGACAGAGATAGAACTCAATGCATCGCAAGCCAAAAACAACTACTTGCTGCTTCTTTGTTAATTGAATCAATACAGGTACGCGTCATTCGTTTATTTAGTGCTACGTTTGAGTTATGCTTATTAACGATTGTTTTATAGGGTACTGTTGAAGCCTCTACTATTTTTTTGGATAAGTTTGTTGAATTGAATGGTTATGATTTGTTCTATCAACTGCTCATATTACCGCCTTATGAGGGAAAGTCTTTAGCAGTAAAGGTATACGAGGATCAAAAGCATACACAATAACGTCAATGCTATATATTTCTTACCGGGAAATTATTTATCTTTTTAAACTAGGGCGCATTTATAGGCTTTGTAGAAGACCTTGTGTTTGCCGGAGTCGATGATTCGAGCCTAATGGTGTCTACAACATCTCCATATCAGCACGATGGTATTCAATACAAACATGAGAAAGGATTTTATTTGTCTCTTTGATATCTTTAAACTAAACACTTGTTTTTTAGACTTTACATTACCCGAAAGCCAGCAAGACAACGGTAACTTGATTGTGTTCTCCAAAGAGAAACGCTTTTTTATATTTCACAATACTCAATATGCTTGTCATGTTTCTCGACAGGTACATTGGTTCGGAATGCCACTGCTATGCAGATTTTGACATCGATTGTTCTTTATCCTGAGAATATTCCACAATCGTTCAACAGAAAGGGACTAGTTGATACTTCGTATGCCTTACCGGACAGCTATCGAATGAAGGCTGTTACTGCAGTAGCAGAAGTTCTTAAATCAAATCCATTAAACTTTTTTCTGACCGAATCTTTGAACTTTTTGCCGACTTTTATTGAGCAATTGGATCGATTCTCCTCAGATCTTCAGGTAATTTGCCATTCATATACTAGAACGTGACTTTACAACAATCATTAACTTGATAAGCATCTATCAATCTATAGGCAGCAATTGTTGATTTGTTGATATACGTTATGGTCGAACTGAATTACGTTCCCTTTAGAGAATTAATTGTATTGTCGCTTCATTTCCAGGGTAGCTATCTTAAATAGAACGTATATCAGTTTGATTTATCACGTGATACTAACTTTATTTGCATGCCAAAGGCCACTCATCAAAAGACACAACAGCCACTGTGTGTCATGCAGTGATTTCATTGTTGCGAACCTCGCATAAGTTTCAAGATATGTTTCGCGAAATCGGTCTTCTCAACATGTTATGTAATTTAATACAAGAATTGGCTGTCACTCTAAAGGACAAATTTGGTGATACACATTTCCAAAGACGGATATCGATATCCAATATAAGCGATATAACAAGTAATCAGAAGGAAATCGACAAGCGAAATTCACGCTTTAGTCCAGATGTAGTTGATAACTTTCAATTAATTTCAGAGTGCTTGGTGGATTTACTACGAGGAAACAAGACGAACATTTCGCTTTTTGGAACTACATATAAGGGAAATTTATTTGATTTATTACACTACGATGAAACACGCGCTGGCGCTTTGGCAACATTCGAAGTATTGGTTGTTGACGGCCATCGACTGTCCACAGCGGAAACGTCGACTTCTCAATTAACTTCTAGGTCTTCAGTATCGTCTACTTCCGCGGTTGAACACTCTTTCCAATTCGGTAGATTGATCGAAATTGTGCAGACACTCAATCGATTTGATCTGAATATGAAAATACATATACTGTTATCGATGAAACGCATTCTTGTGGCTTGTCCTGCTATGAAAGATGTATTCCGTGATGCTGGAGGTTTTGTTTGCTTGGTCAGCTTGCTCGTTAGTCTGGAAGATGTTTATGATCAACTAGCTAAACAAAAATCTGATACTAAAGATACGAAAGGAAACAACGTTAGCATCGAGGAAGAGTTACCTACTAAACAGCAAACCGTCGATACGCTTCGTGCTATATTCGTTGTATTCGCTGAAGCCCTTTCGGGTCACGAGTACAATCGAAGATTTTTTTGCGAGTCTATTGGGTTTAAGTCTGTAGAAGATGCTATCCGTCTCACCAATATCTTGGGTCCTCAAGGTTCTGCTGAAAATTTGTTTGGGATATTATTTGGTTTTGCGATAGAGAACGAATCGTTGAGCAATATTTTCATTGAGAGAACACCCATTGATGACCGTCCTCCTGAGCATAAAAATCGAGACGACCCTCACGACAGTAGAATTATCGAGGCTTTTGGAAACATTACCGATGAAATTCAGAATCCCGAAGTGATACCGACCATTCTCCGATTACAGACTTTTGTCAGGTATAACGAGCAATTAACGCACAATATTTACGAAGCTCTTCTGGCTCTTGCATTTGCCAATAGACGCAATCAAGTTTCTATGAATCAATGCGGAGTTCTTGAAATGGTCCTGCGTCGACTCTTCTATACGTCAGAAACTGTTAATGAGGGAGGGCGTGAAGTTGTTTTTGAGCCAAACGCAAAAGAACGACTGATGCTCACACGTCTGGCACAAAGACTTGTAGAGATGGGCGTTTCGACTACGGAAATTCGCTTTTTGTTTGAACAACTCGAAAATGGACAACAGAAATCTGAAAAAATTTTTGTGGACGTGGATGGGTCTCCCATGTCACTAATGGATATGGTCCTTTATGGAGTTCAGAGAAGTCGATGGCCGCGTTTTGTGCAATTTGATATGAATCCGGTTGGATTTTCATGTCTGGAAATGTCTCGGTTAACGGATAGGCAGTTTCCACCAAGTAGTGGTGGATATTGTTTTATGACTTGGTTGGACATTGAAAACTTTGATCCGCTTATAAATTTGATCATCCTCGGCCTAAGTGATGATGAGAAAAAATGTTATTTACATGTCTTCATCGACACCCAAACTAAGAAACTCACAGTACAGACTTCACCAAAGCATGCTATTCGTCTTGAAGGGTTTGAATTTCGTTCGGGATGTTGGTATCATATCGCTTTAGTTCATCATAGACCTCGTCTTGCATCAACCTCCACTTTGTCTTTATATGTTGATGGAAAATTTATAGAGGCCGTAAGGTGTCCTTACTTGGGTCAGCCGGCACCTAATAAAGCGATCCGGACATTTTTGGGTACGCCACCTGATGTTGCTCGACAGTTGGGTAAGACTAATTTCACTCTCGCTTGGGATATGGGACCAACTTATCTATTCGAAGAAGATGTCGATGGAGACGTAATCAGTGTGTTTTATCATTTGGGTCCTCGCTACACGGCCAATTTCCAGGCTTCTCTAGGTCAATTTCAGACGTATCAAACGTCGACGCTACTCAACATGCGAATTGATGCTTTGAGTCATAAGCGCAAAGATACGGGAACAGAACTAGATAATCTGGCCATGGTGAATGCGATACGCGGTAATAACAGCCAGACGTTGCCCGAAGAGAAAATAGTGTTTGCATTCTCTGCAGGGAATATATTAGTATCTGGTCAGAATCTCGGTATCACCGGTGCTGGTCTCTCTGAAAGCACTATACAAACTTTGACCATAGGCTCGGTAAACAGAAAGCTCATAATTAACGCCGCCGTACCAAAAATAGAACGTGCGCTCAGAGTCGGGCACGGGACGGCTTATTTGAAGGGTGATCCAATCATAGCAACTCCTCATGGGATGGATGATTCGGTTTGGAAGATTGGTGGTTCTGCTGTGGTCTTGAGGTTAATTGAAAGAGCAGAAACGACGAAAGAATTATACAAGGCAGTTTGTATTCTTATCGAGCTTATTAGATTCAGTTGGCGTAATTCGGAAGACATGGAAAGGATCCATGGTTATGAAATACTGGCGTATTTACTTAGACAGAAGCAAGAATTATTAACGCTAGAGCTATTGAACGTCCTGTTAGTCTTTGTTGGATTAAACCCAGTTAATCCAGCCGATTCAGTCATCATCAATCCGTTGGCTTACCGATATCTCATGCTCGATTTTGAGCTATGGAAAAATGCCGACGAGATTGTTCAGAAAGCACACCTTCAGCAATTTGCTACGTTTATTGAGTTAAGTCAGCATCACCAATTCAATGCTAAAAGACTGAATAAAATGCATGTCGTCAAGAAGATGTTGGTAGCTTTGAAGATAAACGTATACTCTAACGAATTGTTGAATGAGTTCATATCTATATTAAAAATTGTAATCAAGCACAATTTCACGACCGAAGTTGTTAGATCAATTGCCACGTTCCTAGTGTCTTCGTTAAACAGACGTGAGTTGATTTCCACTATTGTCATGGAATGCTTTTAATTTCATTAACAAACTTACTAAATTCTTTAATACTGCGTTAGCATCGCCAACTCGTAGAAATACCCGTCGTGATCCTCTCATCAAACGCAGTGCGACAGTCAGCGTACACAAAGCAAATAATACCAGCAAAGCGTTACCAAAGACTATAATCACAAACGTGAAGACTCTCGAAGTAGAGGCACCAGCACGCAAAGTTGGAAATCTGTTGATGGAAATGCTCGCAGACATTATATGCGATAAATTGAACCCATTCTTTGCCAATAAATTTTCTGTAACGATAACTAACAAATGGCCATTACTATTCTTTGACGAGGCCTCAAATCCGTTTTGGGTTGTTTGTGCAGCTCGAATTTTAGCCAGGCTTTTCTATACGCAAGGACCAAGTTACATATCAAAATTTCGAACTTCATCAGATGGGTTTGTCGTTATGCAAAAACTTCTTCCAAAGTGGTGGTATCTGACGCAGCTACAGCAAGCGTTATTTGCCATGTTGTTTGGTATAGACATTTGTGATATTCCAATGGAGGCGCCGTTTGATCTATTCACACTATTGACGCAGTTCGGTCCAAAAGCTAATAGATCTGGTGGACAAACAGTTATCGTTTGTCCTGATATGATGCCTATTATATTACTTATTATGAAAGAAGGCGTTAATACAGTAGTCCGGCTCAGCCAAGAGGCAGAAAAAGATCTGAATGCAAGGGGTAGAACGCGTGATGATACAGCAATTCAGAAGGATAAGCGAGAAGAAAAAATGAGAAAACGACAGTCGCGATCTCTTACGCGAGAATTTGAAGCAGTCATGGGGAAAATGTCGGGTTTTCTTGCAGCTGAACGAGAAAGGGAAGCTGGAAAAGAAAGCTTGTCGAAGTTATCCCATGTCGAGCAAACTCTAGTGCATTTTCTTGCGGATATGAATTCCAATTGGCACGAGTTCAGTGAATTTTGTTCAAGAAATGAAACTCTTGATGGTCTAATCGATATACTCTTTCCCATCGTCTGCGCATCGGAAGAATTACCAATTGAGTCAGAGTTATTTTCTAAGGATACGGCGTTGTCGTTTGGTGTAGACGTATCCCTCGAGAGCAGTAACATATATAGTCTAATTCCTATCTTATCGAATATCGGGCAACAAAACATACAAACGAACAATGATGAGTCTGGTGAGGAGATGACAACCTTTTCAAGTGGAACTCAATTATTGGTGACAGCCGAACCGATAAATGTGGACTCTCTTGGCATTCCGCTTAGCACAAGCCCTATAACAAGCGATGTAGAGGAGGTATCGAAGCCACAACCACGTAGAAAATCAACTAGAGATTCTATAAAGAAAGAATCTGATTATACTGCTTTGAAGAACGCTACAGTCGAAGGTCTTTTGGAGTTTGTGGTATCTATTTGCGTTAATTCAATAGTCGATGTTAAAGCGAAATCTCTCAGCGCACTAGAGACTGTGTTTAAAGTATGTATAATATATGTACGTGCAAGGTTGTCTTTATTGTTGCGCCTTTGATATTAACGGTATCTGTATAATGGATTATAGTCGTTCCCACCAGCCAATTTAGATAACCAGGTTAGTTAACGACAGTTGATGATGTTATTGGCATTGGTTGTTCTAATTATGAATACTGTTTATACAGATACATTTTGCAAGCTATGTATTTAATCATGTAATCGGAAGTTTGAAGAGCACTCTACAGTTGGATAGAAATTTGCTATTAGATTCACGTGTTGTTACAAATACTGCTAAATTTATTCATCTTGCGGTGGATGCCATATATCAAGGTAGTTTACACTTATGTTTCTATGCCAGTTTATTCTTCCCTATTCTCACGCGTCATTCCACCTGTAGGTTGGTTCGTCAATGGACGTAACCAAATTCTTGACTTTATTACAGTTGTTCTAGAGAACATACAACGTCTTGACGACGCAAGCGGTAGAGTCCGTGTGAATGATACTACCATAACAGCGATATACCGTTCTCTTAATCGAGTGGTTTTATTCCGAATGGCCGGAATTGATAACGTGTCCGGGGATAGCACGCACATAAATGATTTACTTGAGAAAATTATGTACCATCAAAAAGTAATATTTAGTCATCACAATACGGATATTGATTTTCTCAAATCTATCTGTTATCATCTGTACAAATGCTTGTTACATGAGGATCAGAACGTGAAGAGGACTTCGATGAGTGTATCCTTTGCCTAGATAATGAATAATTAACCAACATTGTGAGTATTTGTTGATCTTTGACATGAAACGTATTTAATAGGTTTGGAAGTTATTGATGCTGCAAAAGCCGGTAGAGATGTCAGGTATATTGAAGACTAGAATAAAAGGAATAGGTATGTGGATTTACCAGCGTGTAATACAGCGGTTTGTTGATGGCATAAAGCTTCGTTACTCATTTTTTGTGGATCGTATAGAGTACAAGGAACTTGTAGAAGGATTTGCTAAACTTTTGGAAACAAAGGTAATGTCTAGCAGAAACCGACCTTAACACCGCCAAAGATATTATGTAACTCTAACTATGATGGATAATTGGAATTATTCAATAGGAACTTAATTCGTTTCTGGAATGGATTGGTACCCGTCGTGAGCAGTTAGATGCGTTATTCCTGGATAACATCTATAAAACTTGGGAGAATATTATAATGTCAGAAGTGAAGACGGGCAGAGATATGATAAAAAACGCCCATACCAAACGTATGACCAAACTCAAGCGACTCTATAGGAAATCCTCCAGCGAGCAAGATTTCTTCAACCAATACAGAATCAAAACAAACCAATGGGCGAAAAATATCCAGGAATTGGAAACAAGTCGCTATTATAAAAATCTTCAAGATCATGTGGATCATGACAATTATGTGAGGGCGGAGTGGTCCAAGACGTCTGCTGACTTATTTAGAGAACGTGCTTTATGGGGTCCTAAGACGGATGAGGGCAACGTGAGGTGGAGGTTAGATTTTACCGAAGGTAGGAGAATGATGCATATTAAAAAGGATGATATTTATCGGATTCTGAAGCCATCTGTCTATCAGGGAAATGCCGAATGCGAAAGAAGTTGGAAACCAACGATGAAATACAGATTTACTCTTATAGACCAAAGAGCAGTAAAAATGCGGATGACGCCAATAATTCAAAGCCTTCAACTGTTACTACAATTAACACTTCTAAAGTAACTAGATTCAGTAAAAAACAAAGTACGTATTGATCGTAATGTGTATTTAAACTGTTTAATTTCCATAATTGCCTCTAATCTGCTCTGTTAGCTCTCGATGTACCACTGAGCCACTCAAAACGAGGTACTGAATTAATCGTTAAAGAAATGTTTCTTTGCTCCAGAGATAATGATATAGATTTTTATTATCTATGTAGGAAAAGTCCCTCTGGAACGCAAAATGACATTGACGCCTCGTCCTAGTGATTTGGAAAACACACCAGCTCAACAATCCAACGCAGATGAGTCAGGTAGGAAATACATGGAGATGATAGTTGTGTGAAAATTAATATTCACTCGAATTGTTTGTAGAAGAAGAGGACGAGGACGATGATGATGAAACTGAGTTTGAGGAAGACAAGAACCGTAAAGTACTACGATCATTGGAACACGGTGATTCTGTATTAGACATCTTCAACATAAGTCGGATCATGGGACTGGATGCCTGTGGTATGTACATAAGCATTGGCTCTCTAATTGGAATTAACTTAATTATATAAATTGTTTTTATTTCTTTGCAGAGGGCTTGTTATTACTCTGCAAACAGAACTTATATTTGATGGATAATTATTTTCAAAGATCTGATGGAGAAATTGTTGATGTTTGGGATGCACCCACCGAGGTACTGCGTCGTTTGTTGATTGATAACATACGGTATGATTTTATTAACGTATTCATGATATTTACAGGAAAGAGATCAATATTTGCAAATGATTGCATCGCACGCCAGTTATGGTAATCAACCAGGCAATGGTCCAAAGAAGGATAAACATCAAAGCCGCCGATGGTATTTATTACATACCGTTAAGCTACATTGCAGAATAATAGATTAATGAGATTTATCGTGTGTTTCTAGGACGTTCGAAGATATTAAAGAAGTTCATAAAAGGAAATTTTTATTCAGGTATGGAATTTAATCAGCTAATCCGTCTCTAAACAATATGTAAAAGTATAGCCAAACTCAAAACCAATACGTCCATAGAGATGTTGCTCTGGAAATCTTCTTCAATGATGGGCGCAATTATCTTATCACCTTCAATCTCAAAGAACGTGACGTCGCTTACAGCAAATTAGTAGCGCGTGCTACATTCTCCATCAGTGCGACAGAGTCTGTCATGGGCACAACCAGTATCGACGCAAAAACGCCAGTTTCTCCGTTGCAGATCGGGCCAACAACCGGATTAATGTCCATATTTCCAAATTTCTTTGCTAACTCCTCATTGACTGAATTGACACAACGGTGGGAGAGGAGAGAAATTAGCAATTTTCAATATCTGATGCACTTGAACACGCTTGCTGGGAGGTCTTATAATGGTAGATCCAAAATTCCATGACTTGTATTATGACATTTGTGTTTACATTCACTTAATTTTTGTTCTTTATCGTCATAAAGATCTTACGCAATATCCCGTCTTTCCTTGGATTCTTGCTGATTACACGAGTGAAGAGGTCACTATTTAAAATGATGATGTCAATCGTTCACATTCACCTATACTGATATGCCTGGTCTTTCCCTTTTAGCTTGACTTAACCAAGCCCGAAACGTTCCGTGACTTCTCCAAGCCCATGGGAGCTCAAACACCGGAGCGTCAGAGTACGATGTCTCGCTGCATATTATGTTTGTATATTGCTGTAACTTTACTGACATTTACGTGTAGAGGAATTCCAAATCAGATATCGCTCCTGGGATCCAACAATCAATGGAACGACTCCGGCCTTTCACTATGGCACCCATTACTCATCTGCGATGATCGTTTGTTCTTATTTAATACGACTCGAACCATTCACACAACAGTATCTTAAGCTTCAAGTAAGTTTAATAAAAGAATTGTAGTCTTGTTGACATAATCTATCGATAGTTATTTACCATTTGTTCTTGGGAAATACTCCGAGAGGAATGTTTTTTCTAGTTATCATTTTTAATATTTTTTACAAATAATCTAATCTTTCTTTTAATTATAGGGCGGACATTTTGACCATGCAGATCGATTATTCCATTCGATTGGCAAAGCATGGCTATCTGCTTCACGAGAGAATATGAGCGATGTTAGAGAGTTAATTCCAGAATTCTTTTATCTCCCAGAGTTTTTGGAGAACACGAACAAGTTCAACTTCGGTATTGATAACTAGCTACCAGACCTTGTATGATTTATGCTTCAGTCACTTACTTAAAATTTTGTGCATTAGGTGTCAAACAAGCGAGTGGAGAAGTCATTGATTCAGTGATTCTTCCACCATGGGCGAAAGGAGACCCACGAGTATTTATTCATAAGCACCGTGAGGTAGCTAAGATTTCACAATTTCGTTTTTTGTAAGATATACAGCTTATTATCATAATATTTATATTACATATATATAGGCTCTTGAATGCGATTATATTAGTGCCCACTTGAACGAATGGATTGATCTTGCCTTTGGATATAAACAACAAGGACAAGCAGCTATTGATGCTGTAAACGTATTTCATCACTTGTCATACGATGGAGCTGTTGGTAAGTGTCTATTCGCATGCTAGAATACAATAATATTTTTGATACTTATACTCAAGATAAATTCGTCGCGATATCAGATCTTGACTCGATAACTGATCCAGTTGAGAGGTCAGCGTCAACCGGAATAATCCATAATTTTGGTCAGACTCCACGGCAACTGTTTACGAAGCCACATCCACCGCGTTTGCCCGCAACATCTGATTCTGCTAGTGGCAATGGTCTCTATAGCTTCTATGAACACGTTGACAAGCTTATTCAGTCAATTACCCCCGTTCAAGGTTAGCGCACGGCATGAAAATATTGAATATGTGGATAATTTCTCTAACTAACTAAATAATACTAGATATTCGACTACAAGTTCACGATATTCGATTGTCTAACGATCGATTGGTGTCTGTGAGTACACAAAAAATCCTCGTGCCTCCAAACTATAATTACTATGTCGAATGGGGATATGCAGACAATAGTCTTCGGCTGCATCAAACAGACACAAAGAGGGTACCTATTTACTATTTAATGTAATAGAGGATTTGTATTTACTGCTTCTGCCAATTGCTCACGATGTGACTTTTTCTAGATGGTTGGTTTATATGAGAATCTTCACTTGGAGACCATAAGCTGCGCTTCATTCGCAGATGGACAAACTTTTGTCACAGGAGGAACCGATGCGGTAATATTCTGTTATTTGTCAAATGTCGCTGATGTGAAAACCCATACTTACGTAAAATGTCCCTTTTGGTATAGGTTGTCTGTATATGGAGATTTAATTGGCAATCAAAGACAGCACGACTTCATTTCTTAGAGTGTTTGCGCGGTCATTCTGCTAAAGTCAATTGCTTTGCTACTTCCCGTTCATATAGTATTATTGTCAGTGGATCTGATGTAAGCTGTGATGCATTGTATTACAATCGAGGAATCAAGAATGTCTGCACAAAATACTGATATTTATTGTTTGTCCTAGGATAAGTCTTGTATCATATGGGATCTGAATAGAATGAAATATGTTAGGCAGCTGAAGGGACATGAAACTGGGATACAGGTAAAGTTAACGCGCCTAGTTATTCTGTACATTTAGCGTTGATTATTCAGAATGTCGATAAATAATATTCTATCTTTACAGTACATAGCAATAAACGACACGACTGTAAGTATTTTATGACATGCGATAGTTAAACAAATCCCAACATGCATCATGTTAACGTTGGCTATTATAGGGCGATATTGCAACTTGTTCCGGCTCAACGATACGGATATGGGGAATCAATGGAGACTTAATAGTTACCAAGTCAATATCAAGCGTGTCTGGGCCTATCACATGTTGTACTTTCTACGAGGTAAATAAGCTTCTGTCCAGCACTCACTGCATGTTTATATACTAATTTTACCACATCAGGGCAAGAGTAATGAATGGTTCATACATGATATGATTCTAACGGGTCACAAGAAAGGAATCATAAAGGTAAGATCATAGTGAATGAATGTGTTCGAACAGATATTTTCTAAATTTACTCATCATCTATTACCCGCTAAAGGTCTGGCACAGGAGGCTTGAAGAGAAAATAGAAAATGACAAGAAAGGTGAGTTTTACGCGTTCATTTTGTTAATTCTCTGAATCAAAATCGCTTGCTCACTGTAATTTGATTGTTCTCTGCAAATTTGTGCAGTATGGCGATGGGACCTTACGCCTCGACATCATTTACAGCACGAGAGTAGGCTCGGTATTATTCAGCCAGGAGATGTTACCGTCTTACATGCATCAGGGTAGGATATAGTTATTCGCAACACGGTTGTGCCATGTGTTCAAAACTTATGAAATTTGCAAACTTCCGTAGTATCCAACGTACCTTATACAGCGGATGTAGCAACGGTAAAGTGTTTGCATGGGTTTTACCCGACGTTAAGTCGGATGGTCACTGGATGTCAGACAGCACCAGCGATAACTGTTTGAAATGTGGAATGAAATTCGCCGTTCTCGGTAAGTGTTCAAGAAATTACTGCAGATATAGGACATACAACTATTCGATCGCTAACGGGCTAAGTTTCGTTTCTTAACATAGAACGTAAGTTACACTGTAAAGCATGCGGTGGTATCTTTTGCTCTGCGTGTACTTTTAATGCCATAGACAAAAACTCCCGATATTGCGAATACTGTTGTCAGAAATTAGGTATACAATATACGTTATAATATAATGTCACTAGAGTATTATGTATTATGTATTATAATTATTGATATAGATCCTATTGGATTTATGTGGTCGGTTTGTTGGGGTAAAATTAGTTTTGTGGACAAATTTATCAAAATAACTCTTCTGAATGATTTAGTTTATCAGAATAATAGTCATGCAGAATTTTGTTTACTCATCACTCAAGTCAGTTTCCAACTAATCTAAGAGAGAGAGCAGTGACAATGATTATCAGTTCATAACAACTAATCAAAGAACAACAAGCTGGAATGTTTATTTTAGCAAGTCAATTTACTTGGCATGAGCTATGTTAAATCTGTGTATCTCATAAAAAGTAGTCATAGAGCTTTTAAACGAGATCCTAATTCCATCGCAGTTACCAAACTTGGTTGACCTATCCTAACACGCATTCAATCGTAAGTGGCGACTAAAGGAGTGAGGAAAGTCCAATGCGTGACTAAGTAAGAGTCGTAAAGTACATTATCGACAACGCGCACACGATATTGAGCTTGGTAGGCCATCATCGGTGTAGGCTGACCCGCGCGATATGAAATGTGGATTGTTAAAATCGGTTAAATTTTTATTAATTGGGCAAATAGTGATAGTTAAAAATGAGATACACGTGAAAAATGATTATGACTCTCGTGTGTTAAAAATAATATGAAATACCCGAAATCCTCTATATCAGTGTACACTTGAGTTATTCGAGGGAATTCATTCAATTCACATAACAAATTAGAAATATTACAAGAGATCAATAATTAGAATTTCACTTCTTCACCGTTATACTTCTCGTATTCTGTACTAATACGATGTTTTTGAGAAACTGGTTCCTCAACTCCTCGGGCGACGTACTATTTGTGGGAACTGCGGCAAACCTTTGGACTACGAGTTCCTGTAATTTATCAAGCGAAAGTTCCTTTTCCTGTAAGAAAAGAATTAATTAATTAAGCTTGAAACGCTGGTATGGTTCAAACGTAAAATGTGGGCAAACCTATACCACTTCTCTTACCTTTATTTGCTTGAGCGTATCTCGCACAGTCGCTGGCATGCTCAAACCAAAATCCGACTCATTTGCAATCATGCTATTGTTAACTTTACGTCTTTTGGCGGGAGGTGCATTATCTTGGTCTGCAAGGTGTTTCTTTTCAGAAGAGACCGATTCCTTTGGTCGGCTATTATCCTTCTGAGTTGATGATTTCCCATTAGGCTGAGATTTATTTAGTATTATTTCCGTATCGTTTTTAACCGATCCTTTTGACGAGATGGCCTTTATTGTAGAGTCAGATAACCTTGGTTTCTTTCTTGCTTGGACAACTTTCTTTGACCGTTTCGAACTTTCAATATCGCTTTCAGAAGATGCTGGACTGTCTTCGGGTTCATAATCCGACTCGTCTTGACCATTATTGGCTCGTTTTGATTCGCTCTTTGCCTTTACCTCCGATTTCTTTTCAGGTAAGCCGGAGATTTTATGCAAGACTTTCGATTGAGTCTTCTTTCCATTCAAAGCTTTGCCATTTGGTAATGACGTTTTAGAAGTAGCTTTGCGAGAGGAGTTAGTATGTTCACCTTCCGATGAGAGACCACTTTTGGAGGATGAATCTTCGGACTGTGACTCCAATTTTCGTTTGTTTCTCGAACTAGTAGTCGATGCAAGATTTTTATCAGAATCGTTTTCACTTGATTCATTGGATAAGCTATTAGTGTTCTTTGCATTGTTTGTCTTGGTTTTCTCATTATTGCTTTCACCTGATTTTTCGGTGGGGTTTACTGTGCCTGTCTTAGCTTTCTCACTTTCATTTTTATTCTCACTATCAGTCTCACTATCACTCTCACTATCACTCTCACTATCACTCTCACTATCACTCTCACTATCACTCTCACTATCACTCTCACTTTCATTATCGGCGTCACTTGCTTCGTCGGATAAATTCTGAGTCTTTGCCTTTGACCTGACCTCCTCAGTTTGCTTTGCCCTCTCACTTGATTCGTCGATTGAGCCCTTGGCATTCTTTACCGAGTTTGTTTCAATTTTCCCACTTACACTCTCATTCTCACTATCACTATCACTATCACTATCACTATCACTCCCACTATCAATGTCACTTGAATTGTCAGACGAACTCTCAGCACTCTTTACCGATGTTTCCTTAATTTTTTCACTCTCACTCTCATTCTCATTCTCACTCTCGCCTTCACTTGACTCGTCTGATGAGCTCTTAGCAATCTTAACTTCACTCTCACTCTCACTCTCACTTTCACTCTCGTCTTCACTTGACTCATCTGGTGAGTCCTTAGCATTCTTTACTGCATTTCCCTTAGCTTTCTCACTCTCGCTCACACTTTCACTTTCACTCTCGTCTTCACTTGACTCGTCCGGTGAGCCCTTAGCATTCTTTACTGCATTTCCCTTAGCTTTCTCACTCTCGCTCTCACTCTCGCTTTCACTCTCACTTTCACTCTCGCCTTCACTTAACTCGTCTGATGAGCTCTTAGCATTCTTTACTGCAGTTTTCTCACTCTCTCTCTCATTCTCACTCTCACTCTCACTTTCACTCTCACTCTCGCCCTCACTTGACTCGTCTGATGAGCCCTTACCACCCTTTACTGCATTTCCCTTAATTTTCGCAGTCTTGTTTTCATTCTCATTCTCATTCTCATTCTCATTCTCACTTTCACTTTCACTTTCACTTTCACTCTCGCCTTCACTTGAATTGTTCGACATGCTCTTAACATTATTCGCTGCTTTTGACTGAATTTGTTCATCTTCACTCTCGCTTTCGCTTGATTCATCCGATGTACTCTCGGTATTCTTTACTCCGTTTGTCTCAACTCTTTTATTTTTGCTTTCATTCTCATTCTCACTCTCACTCTCACTCTCACTTTCACTTTCATTCTCACTTGTTGCATCCGACGAGCTGGCGGTATCATTTACTTTGTTCGCCTCAACTTTTTCACTTGCGTTCTCACGCTCGCTTTCACTGTCCGTTTCACCCTCTCCTTCGCTCGATTCAGCGGATGAGCTTTTAATATCATTTATCCCGTTTCCCTCAGCTTTTTTATTTTCGTTGTCGCTCTCTTTTTCACTCTCACTCTCGCTCTCACTCTCATTTTCACTTCCACTCTCGTCTCCGTTTGATTCGTCGGAACTTTCAGTATCTTTTACTCCGTTTGTTTCAACTTTCTCAATTATACTATCAACCTCGCTCTCGCTCTCGCTTTCGCTTGCTTTATTAGATGGCGTTTTGGTGTTCTTTGTTGCACTTTCCTTGGATTTTTCTATATCGCTCAAGACATCGCTTTCATTCCCACTTTCGCTTTCTTGTTCAGGCGGACGTTCAATTTTCCTAGGAATTTTATTGCCATTTTGTTTATTGTTCTGAAATAGAAACGTCAATCACACTTAGTATACCTTATTCTAGTAGCAATGTTCTGGTCAAACTCAAACCTAATCCGACATCAATTCCAAGACTTTTAATTATGGTCCCATCAGAAAATACACAAATCGGAAATTTGTATATTTTGATAAAATTTTTTGGGTCGTATTCTTTAGATAGTTGAGAAAAATCCACGTTATCTTCAGCCAAGCATGCTCTTCCTTGTAATTCGTTTCGTCTACTAAGAATCTCACTATGACTTAGAGCCGCTCTCGTTCCAATGCTGAAGATAGGATTGGATTTGCTTTGAACCAGAACATTAATATACCAACTCGGACAATTATTGATCCACACCTTTTTTCCCTGAAATAGAGTTTTTTGATATTTTTCCTGCTCAGTAATGCAGCTAGTATGCGTTTTATAAGCGGAGCCGTAGAATGTCTGGGAGCAGTCCAAGCATGTTAACTGGGCATCGCGACAGCGAGCGAAATGCTGCTCTGCTTTTGGTTTCTTGATAGTTTCTACAAGAAAGTAGATCAACAATTTGATTCTAATATGTTAAAATTTACGAAAAAAAAAAACGTAATTATCACCTTGACAACTGTCACAGACAAAGCTAACCATAACGTTCGGGGGTTAAATGCGGAGGTTGAACGGACTTTTTTTTTTCTCTTTAAAAAAATTTTTTTTGGCGAGTATGTTGGCTCATTTGATTGGCCGATTCAAATCGTGTCCATTTATCATCACGGGACATGGGTGTCATGACTCAACAATCACAACAATCTTCACAAAACTGTTATAAAATGAAATGGGTATTGCACTGTCGAAACGAATATGAATGTGAGTGGGTTCCAACTTCCCAACCTCCATTAGATAAGTTTGTGCGGAAAATCGGCTGTACCTACACAATTGCTGGAGTCACTTAAGATTCAATTAATAACGACGACCCCACCCTGATGATTTGTTGAGCGTACATTTGCTAACGTCAATGGCGCGCGTAAAGTATTAGAAGAGGCTATTGGTAAAATTGGCGTGCGTCTCAACAGTAATTCATTACCTATGAAGTACTTTCAGGAAAAATAGATAGTGGGTAAACGTTGGCCTGGCGTGAAGTATTTAAAAGATAATCTGGATGACAAAAGCAGTCGATTGAAGACCGGAAGGCAAAAAAAAAGTCGATTGGCTTTGAAAAAAGGAGAAATCCGGTGAACGATTATTACAACTAACAAATCTTATCGGAGGGGGTTCGTCTTGTATTAAAAATAAAAAACAACATCAAGGACAGAGTTTAATAATACTCAGTGTGACAATTTAATACGAGAATGCGACGAGCACCGGTAACTTGGCCTACGATAATATAAATAACTGGATTTACTAAAACTTTAAAGTCGGACGCGTCGAACAACAATAGATTAGTAACTTTGTCTCAGAATCTATATGCAAAAGCATTAATTATAAGATTAAAGGATAATAATTCCAAAAAGTCTTTTGCAAGAAATTACTTTTGTATGACAATAAAAATATTTGTGCGACGTTATTCTTATGCAATGTTATTCTTTACGTTTATTATTAAACTGAACATCTTTATTAAGTAAACGCTTTTACTAGTTATACAACGCGGAGTGAGATGAATTCGATGGCCCAAGATGTTAATAGACAAGTGTTACACAACATGCAGGCCTGGGCAGTGTGACTTTTAAAAAGAGTCCAAATAATTTGTTTCGGCGAATCCTATATTAATTAATGTCCTGCAGGTGGTGTAGCGTATTAACAGCCGCGTAGAAATATTACCCACCATCGGAATAATTTGACTTCAAAGGGAAAGTCGGAATACGTTAAAAAAAAGCTTACTCTCCAGACTTACAATTATTTGGACGTAACAATTAGTTTTTGCTCAACATAAGCTGAGACAATGCTCTATTTATTACTTTCTTTCACGCAGCGTTCACCGCCGCAATTACCCTGATTGTGTACCAGAAATTTATAATAGGTTTGGCACTGAACCATTACTGCTATAATCATTATCCGGAACTTTTTGTTGTGGTTCTACGCGTAGGGCAAGGTCTTAGGGACTCAGATTACTTTGGGTATGTGCCTACATAATGTTCAAGGCAAAATCATTTATTACAAGTTTCATTCATTATTTGCCACTATTTGTAAAATCACTGAATTTATTAAGTTTCACTGTTTTATCTGCTCTAAACGTTTTTTCTTTGGCGGTAACAACGTTCGTACGCACATACACTCCCTGGACAAAAGTATCCGATGGGAGTTTTTTTTTGATTTTATGCAAAATCCAGTATAATAATTACACAAACTTTTTATATCATTTTGTAATTTTGCTTTTTGCAAATCTGCATGTGAAGTTTGAAGTGATTAGCTTTCTTGAACGACGAATTATTAAACAAAAGACAATTTGCAATTAAAATTAGTTTCGCCGATCTTTGACTCACGAAAATTTATATAAAAGAAAGAAGAAATTAACGTAAATTTTAAACAAATCTAAATAAATAAAATTTGTTTTATTATTATAAACCAAATAAAACATGTGTTTTGCTAACTTTTTCTTGCCACCTCTTTATTGTATGTAAATAATTAAATAAAAAAAGCAAAAATTTTCGTGTTGTTTTTGTTTTGTTTTTATCGCGCTGTTTCCAAATTTTATTTCCGAGCACTTTTATTATCGTTTACATGCCAAAGGTTCCGAATTAACAGAAGCTGATCGAGGAAAAATCTTAGGTCTTAGAACAGATGGAAGTAGCATTTCAAAAATATCTAAGACATTTAAAATTCCGCCATCCACTGTACGGGATACCATTGTTCGCTACATAAACTCTGATAATCTAAAAAGTGCTCGAAGGAGTGGTAGACCTAAAAGCATAATAATGAAGATAAAGAAATATTAAAAGACATTATTCGTCGAAAATCAAAATGTTGCCTGATTGGTCATCTCAATCTCCTGACCTTAATCCAATTGAACACCTTTGGAATGAGCTTGAAAAGCGACTAAATAAGCCCAAAAATGCCACAGAATTAGAGATTGCTCTGAAAGAGAAATGGTCACTAATTCCTCATCAAACATATTCCAATTTGATTAAGAGCATGCCAAGACGGCTTGAGGCATGTATTTTGAATAATGGATGGCCAACTCGGTACTAAATAAACTAAATGTTTAGAGCCAAAAAATTGGCGAAATTAATTTTAATCACAATTGCCTTTTGTTTGATAATTTGTCGTTCAAGAAAGCTAAACACTTCAAACTTCACACGCAGATTCGCAAAAACAAAGCTACAAAATGATATAAAAAGTTTGTGTAATTATTATACTGGATTTTGCATAAAATCGAAAAAACTCCCATCGGATACTTTTGTCCAGGGAGTGTACGTTATTTCTTAGGCGGTAACAATATTCGTGTGCGCATACGTTATTTCTTTGGCGGTAACAAGGTTCGTATGCGCATAGTATTAACAGACAAACTCAACAACATCAAGCTATACAACCTGCACTCATTTCTATTAACATTCGTAATCTGAAACCTTCTAAGTGTATAGCAAAAAAAGGAGTAGTGATGCGAAGTGTAGAAAGTTATAATGAAAAAGATAAGAAGGAAATATTGAGATTAAAAAGAGATGAAATAAATAATATATAAAAACCGAAATTGCCTTCCGAAAATTGAATTTATTTGGTAAATAACAAGAAAGCGTGTTATTGGTAACAAACGCGTCTTAATTTTAATTAATATTCATGTTAGTAAATGTATAATAAATATTGCAATTAGTTCCGTGGTTTTCCCCAAAGTAATGCATAAAAGACCAATATTCCTTATTGCACTGTTCTTGACAATCTAAAAAAATTGCGAGATACAGAAACAATCGAACGCAAGAAGGGTAACAAACGCTCTTCCAATGTTACACAAAACATCGCCAAAATAGTGCTATATAGACACGGCGACTTGCTTCCGCCATACAGAAAACGCAAAATATTACCATTTCGCATACTGCCGTTTGGCGATATATGAAGACAAGGAGTACGAAAGTTCTATACCTCATGCAACGCCAATGCTCACTATTCGGCATAATAGTTACGAAAAGCTTGCACGCGGACACATTTACAAGATTATTGGGCCAAAACTACATTCACCGGCGAGACTGCATTCGATCTTTTTTGGAATAAAACTAGTCGGTGGCATAAAAACTGGTTCGCCAATTATCGAAATTATAATGGTTTGGGGGGGGATTTCACGAAAAGGAAAAATACTTATTTTGTTTCACAAATACAATGGATGGGCCTTTTATGTAAGTGTATTGGCAGACATATCTGCTTGGATATTTATATATGGATGAGTAGACGCGTGTTTGCGTGCTATATGACAAAAGATGTCACGTATTTGTACTACCTAACATTATTAATTGCTTCGCAGGTAATCTTACAAGTATATCTATGCAGCGAGGAGAACGGAGTCAATATATTGCCTAGCGTAACCATTCTTACAATTGTCACGATTGTTTCCGTAAACAAGAACAATAGCTATCAGCGTAACATTTCGGAACACAGTAAAAATTTTTTTTTTTACTTGTTAAAGTCGACAAGCCACTAATTAAACTGATCTCTATGATAACTAAACAGTAATTAAATGGTAATTTCTGCACGTAAAATAAATTTTTATGTACAATATCTATAATTGACGGTAATTATTACACTAAATGTTTTTGTTACTTGCTTAATGTATACAGTTGTCCTTTCTACGGTTATTATTATCGGTTTCCTAAAATTAGTACTGTAATTGTAGAAAATTCTTTCTATACAACCTCAGTATACATACAATTCATTGTAAAATCTGCAATGGCTTTTTTACAAACAAGTTTGACAATTTCCTTTTGCCAAGCCTATAATTGACAATTCGTGGCTTGTTTACTAATTAAACTGTAGTAATTGCCTTGGCTTCTATAATCCGAGTACTACAGTACTATCGGGGCGTCGAATTTTTATATCAAAGTAAACGCGTTAATAGAAAATTAACCAATAGTCGTATTTTCGCCAAGATCGGATTTCCACGCAGTAGCAAAATTTGCTATTTACACGCGCTATTAAGGCGATGGAATACTGGTTAATGCCCAAATTAATAGATACAATTCGAAGAGCTGCTTTGATGAAGTTTGCAAAACCACTGTACTTTCAAAAAAAAAATTTTTAATGTTTTGCGTTACACTCTGATCTGCATTACACGGAATTCTTCTGTTTGACGTGCCGTATTTCACGGGCTAAAGTACAGCAAAACCCCTTTATATTATATTATATTTATACTATACACGGCGATATGCATTGCATAGTCACATGCCCAATGCTATTAGTGTTAATGTGACAATACTTAATTATCGGTGAGAGGGGAAAAACTCACTCATTTAACGCGAAATTGTTGAATTCGTTGTTCGCCATGCTAATATTAGCATTGTTTAACTCACGTGACATTTAGATCATCTTTACCCCCTGCAAAGACAGCCCATGTAACGGTGCTAATTAACTTTTTTCTCTTCATGAAATGCCTCGTTATAAAAGTTTTTGAATAAAGTTTTGTTGATCACAAGAATGCTTGGTAATTAGAACAGCTTCCTTCCCTTATTCGT